CTCCTATATGTCCGGTGGCTGCAAAGAAGTGGTTTCCACGGATCCGTTCCCTACACTCTATTGATGAAACATGGAGGACGCAAACCAAGTCAAAGGGACACATATTGTTACCCATATTTTCTTTTTCACCACTAACTTCCGGTTATTCAAACGGGCGGCCTTGAATATCGAAAATTAGGGTGCCATATTGTTGAAAATAAAAGTAATATAAATAACTTAGAACGAGGAAATTGAGATGCCCTGGTTTTTGCGTTTCGTCTAAAATATCGAATTTTGTTGACGTACGTACTAGCTTCATGTAGACCATGAAACTGACTAGCTTATTAGCCTTGTGCGTAGTTAAATTACAGGCAATCGCAAAATTTAGTTGGTTTTCCAGAAGTTGCTCTAAAGACTAAAAAGGAACAATTAACATTATTAGAATAAAGCAGCACTGGAAAATGCATGGATGCAATCGAAGATACTATTTACACATGCAGAAAGGGCTACAAAAGTTGGTAGCAAAAAATGTTTTTAATATGCTTCTTAAGAATACAGATCTCTGTATTAAGTAATTCGTGTCTTTCTGAATAGTCATTTTTCGCCCTAAAACCGTCTACTTCAATCGGTAACCATTGGGAATGGCTCTTATTATAAATTGGTAAGGAGCTGTCCAGTGGGTCAGGTGGTTTTGTTGTTATGTCAGAAGAAGGTGAGGTGGTTAATGCGGCCACTCTCCCGTTGCCCCAGCTGCAGGAAATCGTTAAACAATACGAGCAAAAGATTCAGTACATAAATGCATCTCTTCAGCAACTAAGAATGCTTCAAAGCACGTTTGCATCGTCACGTGAGTGTTTGAAGCAATTTTCGGACGATAATCGTGACAAAACAATACTCGTACCCCTGACGTCCACCCTCTGTGTTCCCGGAAAACTTATAGAACCCTCGCACGTCCTCGTCGATATTGGGACTGGTTACTTTGCAGATATGGTATGTTGCCACTTGCGCGTATCTTCATAATGCTCTTTCAGGAAGCCAAGGATGCGGCGAAGCATTTCACCAGACGTATCGAATTTATAGAGAAGCAGATTGGAAAAATCGCGCCTGTATTAGCCCAGAAGTCACAAGAACACAAAGGCTTGTCGGCGCTCCTCGAAGCAAAAATGCAAGCAGCTATTAAGGCCCAAACAGCCAAATCTGCCACATAGGTTTCAGTTCGTTTGTTAAATAAAGCTCTTTTGCTTGTCACGTTCCGCCATATTTTTTCGTTTTAATCGGTATCCCACACTTGTATCTGTCCCTTCTTATTCATCGCCATGTTACAGTTTTTCAAACCTGCATTTACATCTGTCCGGTTTGTTGGCTGTGCCTCCTTTACTACTGTCCGATGTGAAAAAACTGGGAGCTTATTTGTGCAACCTCTATTAGCGGACCTTCATTATCCATAAGGACATAGATAGGCATTTTGGGAGGCCTGATTTCGACATTGCAGCACTGACTCTTCGATGGTTAGCTTACGTTGATCGTGTGTCCGGCCACAAATTTATATAGATGAACTAGCCGTACCCGTAAAACACCAAGCAAGTTTGAGTCTGCAATGGAACATAGATTTATGCTCTTAGCTATTCATGTTATGAAATGTTTTATAGCACAAATGGGTGCCTCCGACCCCGTGTTCTCGTCCTTTTACTCTTCGAAGAATATCCCAGTTCCTGGAGAGCTGGTACCACGCGCGCTTCTTGAAAATGACACTTAATATCAAAATCTATCTGGATTACACGGGGCTAATGCTTATCCTATAGACTTTTGGCCGAAAACATCGAATACAGGAGTTGTAACGATAGACTGATGGTTCGTATGCGGCTTTAGCCTTGCTCGAGAGGGCGCAGTCCGTCCTTAATGACAGGAGTCGCTCCCAAATGATCGTACACAGTCGATGCACTACATGGTATGTCGACTACGTCGGTTTACTCTTCCACCGCGAGATTCACGTGGCTGACTCGATGAGAACAATAATCTCCAGTAGAGCATGTAGCGGTCCAGGATGGGCGATCTACTATAACCACAACATATTCCGTCTGATGGAGGGAGGC